AATAATCACGCATAGAATCAATCAGCAATATTAATGCTATTATTGGTGACATCCATAGTCACAAAATACTGTTAATTCATAGAATGATGTGATCCTCATTTATAAAACTGTTGTCTGTTGTTTCCAGTTTATATTTTTTTTAAATGCAAGTACTTTCGAATAATCCTTTATTCATCGTCAGGCATATCTTTTCCTTATAAAATCAAAAACTTGGAGACGAAATAATTGTTTGTAGACCGAAAGATGTTTTTTTTTTTTTGAGAATGTGCTATTATTGACGGTTGTGTACAATATCGAACGTGCAATTCAACATGAAAAAGACGATGGACATGAAAACAATTGTATATGGTCTATGTTAATTATGTTTTATGAATATGTCCTGAAGATAGTCTATTAGACCGAAACCTCCGACGTTGACATTATATTAACATTAAAACAGCATAATTGCATATTAGGATTTTTGTTTCTTTCTTTTCAGTATATTTTTCTTCATACTGTCGGATCTATATCCATATATTTGCTTTATATATATATATATATATATATATATATATATATATATATATATATATATATATATATATGTCATGACAATATTTCGCTGCAAAAATAAGAGGTGCCACGGCACGGTGGATAAGAATCACTGGTTAAGAGTATTCAATGCTTGTGGTCTGTTTTTTTATCGACTAATTTGAATTTGTAAGCCATGTCAGAATCCGAATTCGTTCGCTTTGTTGCTTTCGCTTTGATATTTCCAGATTAAATTTTTGGCTTTAATTTGTTTTCCATCTTTGTTGTATTTATGTTTTAAAAATAAATACAATCGTTTTTTTCCAATTTGAGTCGTTTTTTTATCATTTGACGGCCGCAATTTTCTGATTACATCGATTTTGTTTGTTTTTTTCTTTTCAAAACATTTTTCTCTTATATTATCTTTGTTTACACATTTTGCTTCGGTTTATGTACAGCTTTGTTTATATTATCTATAATTTAAAGTATTTTACTTCGTTGTTTTGAGGTCACATAATGTCGACACTGGTTATGCCTTGGGAAAGAGACCTCTCTGTTTCGGAAATGCATATGGAAACTCTCCAAAGTGGTTCCACTATGCAACACCAAGAAAATACCCCCTAAAGGATCTCCAAAGAAAAATCTGGAATTTCAAAGCTAACGACAAGGGAAGTAAAGAGAATACGACAACTGAAAATGAAAAAGAATAAAAAATACGATGGCTAGAAAAAAAGATTCTAAGATGAAATCCACCATCCTGAATGCGACTAATCTAGTTTAAGTAAGCTAAAGCTTACACCTACAACATTAATCACCGTGAGTTTTTTTGTCTGCCTTTCTGACCAATAGAATATTGAGACAAGAACCTTGACTGCTTTCGTCGTTGACAAGGAAAATAAAATATTTCTCGGACGGAAAATGCACAATCTGCCTTCCCTGGAGAGTAAGACACAATAAAACATCAAAGCATCAAATGAGAGATATAGACATTATTCGGACTATTGTCCCCATCTTTGTCTCATATTTATTACAACGTTTCGGCCGTTGTATGCTCCTGTCTTCTTCAGGTGGCTGTTATGTCGAACTGAACCCTTTATTTCGCTCACTGGGGTAGACTGTTCTATTTCCACGTGCCATGTTTAATGGATGATCGCTTACTCATCACGCTACTTCGTATTTATTCATTTCCCTTATGATCACGTCATCTACTTATTAAGGGAATCGACCGTGTTGTTTACAGGCGATCTAGTTTCAAACCACGGTGTCGACAACAACACTTACGCTTATACAGCACATATTTTATGAGAATCAATTTAGTATTTGATCTGATGCTTTCTAAGCTTGTCCCACGTACACACTTATTTTCTTAATCGGTATCACCACATGCAAGGCAGTAAAGCCACTAAGACACAAGGGGTCCCATGGTGTGGAAGAATTAGGAACAGAAACATTAATAATAAGCAGGAAGAGAAAATAATCATCAGGGGGACAGTATAAAGCTTCTTCTTTTTCTATGTAAAGTTTCCGATCAGGTTTTTTGCGGCCATGGTTTTCAACAACTTCCTGTCCTTTGTATCTCTTGGTACTGTTTGCTCGTTTTGTTATCTCTCTTGATCCTTGTTCCGTCAACCATTTACACAAGCTCGGAACATAGATTATTCGCTGATTTCCTCCCTCCCTGTTGTCTTAAACATCACTTCTGAGTATCAAATTTTCCAAGCCCCCTTTCTTCATCAAGTGTCTAGACATTTCATTTGTCTCTTTCTAATTCTGTTTATAAATGTCAATCACTATTTACTCTTCTCCTTATTACTTTTTTCACTTCCCGCTCATTATTAATGTTTGTGTTCCTAATTCTTCCACACCCTGTAACCCCCTGTGTCCTAATGGCTGTACTACCATGCTTGGGCTGATATCGATTTAAAAAAAAGCCTATAGATAGTAACCAAGATAGTAACCCATCTCATTGTAATTGATATAAACGCCCAATGGGGATCGAACGCACTACTGTACAGATTAACTCCAACAATAGCATACTGTACGATGAAGAAGTAAAATGCTTACTGTTGTGGTAGGATCCACCTAATTTGCATAGTGGAGTACCGACCATATAAATATGGTTGGTAGCAGGAAGAGAGGGAGGAATCAAGAGATTCAACCAGAGACTCTGTCCGACTGCGACTCAGTCAACACATTCTCCAGGAACGGTCTTCCCAGGAATATACAAAAGACTATATGAAAATATTGTGTACATTTTCTTGTTTCAATACATTTTGTTCTAAGTACATTTTGTGTTGCATTATTATTCCATGCATTAGTCAAGTTTCAACACTTACTTACTACGCATATCATAGTGTGATACAAGGCCACTAATTTTGAGTAATATTTATGAAACAATATTACTGCAATATCTAATTTAAATGCAATATCAATCGTTATCATCTCTCCTCCTGTTTATTGCTCCTACGAAAGATTTTTGTTTTCTAATTCTTCAACACCCAGTAAGTACTTGTGTCAGTGGCTTTACTGCCTTGCTTGGGATAATCCGATTTAAACAAAATTAGCGTTGATTTTATTTCTATTTCCTCAAAAACATCATCGTTGCTCACACTTTCAGTTCATCTTATTCTTAATATCCTTCTGTAGAACCATATTTCTGTTGCCTGAAGTCTCTTATTCATTGTTCAATATTCACTGCCATAGAAAGTGATCGATATTACATAAGTACTCTTTGTTTCTAAAGAAATTGTCTTGTTTCTTAATTTTTTGGTGAACCCCTTTCAAGACATCTTTCCCTATTGCAACGCGATTTCAGATTTCGGTGGTCCCTTTTTTTCGTTCTCTGTTAAAAAAATTCGTTGACTTTTTTTGTACTTGTTTGATGTATCCAATTCGTATTTCAAATGTTGGCCCGTTCCTTTTATTTCCCTAACACCCATAAATTGTTCCTTCTTATAATCGATGTTTGATCCTTTCTTCTAGCTATTGATGTACGGATGAGGAAATGTAGGGGTTGAGAAAACTAATTCGATTGCAAAAGGCAATGAAAATAATGTTGAGATAGAATATTATAAAAAGTTATGATACATTATGATTCTTCAAAGATCTAAGTTACCATAGAAAATATTTACTTACAAGCAGCATGGCCCGGCGATGCCTGTCCTTGATTCAAAAATCGTACGACTCATACAGCAATCGCTATCACTTGACTTAAAATATTTTTGCCCTTCCTTGCCTTTAAAGGAGTGCCCTTTGCCGTGCTGATGTTGCTACATGTCTTACTTCTTGCCTATCTCACACTGCGAATTTTTCTAAGCTCTGTACTAAACATTAAATCTGTTACGAAAAAAGAACTAAACAAAATGAACACAAAACGATCAGCTTTAAAAAAGGACGTGTAACTGGAAAAACCGAATGAAAAAAGAATGTTAACACCAAATACTTTTTCACACCCAAATCTGCGGAATCAGAATCAACGTTGATTTTAAGCAAGCAAATGAGCCAATTGGAGTAAAGTGCCATGCAGATTTAAATTTTTCCCACTTGTAACGAATGCAGTTATCGATTCTTTTTGCATGCTAGCATGCTAGTTAACATGTCAGTCAGCTGTTGGCTCTCACGCTGGCCAATAGAATCTTTCTGCCTATTCGTGGCAGCCAGCTTTTGGCTCTCACTCTGGCCAGTAGAAAATGGCCGCAAACTACATGAAAACTACCGTAGAATCATGAAAAAATCAATTATTTCCATTATCGATGGGAGTTGGGAAATGCAACGTCGGCCTTGGCTTTTTCATTAACTTGGAGCATATGCATGTACATTTTGCTGCAAATCCGTCGAAAATCGCGGCCGTGCATTCGTTACATACACACACACAGACATCCTGCCTTTTATAGATCGAGCTTTCTTTTATGCAGGTGCAATTAATAAATATGTAAATGTCATTTAAATCCAAAGTAGATTGCAAAGAATAAGGGAGAGAATAAGAAGATACAAGCCGGTAATAGAAAAGCGTCGAGGCATGAGATAAGGAATAATCTTAGTTTTGAATGGAACTATTTATTGTCATTTCCGTCTTTGATAAAATCATTTACGCAAGCTTTCAGCAGAGTATTAAGTTCTTATCTTGCCAATTAAGGTTTTACGTAGGAAGCTACTGAGAATATTGGATTGAAAGTCTATCATTACTCATTAGCAAAACTTTTTCATTTAAACATAGATTTTTTTCTGAGAACCTTCTTCACATATATCTGTATATTAATAAATCCTAGTGCACCTGCTACCACTGGAAAGACGGTCGTGTTTATGTCCTACATACCTGCAATTATTATTTACAGATTCGTACACTAGGGGTTTTAAAATTATTATTTTTCACTAAAGTTCAAGAAGTTCCCACGATCACCGAAGTTAAGCAACGTCGAGCCTGGCCAATCGATGGGAGACCGCTTGGGAATACCAGGTCTTGTAAGCTTGGATGTACGGTTCTTATGGCTAACGGTCATACCACATTAAAACACGGGTTCTCGTACGATCACCGAAGTTAAGCAACGTCGAACCTGCATTACCTAGATGGGTGATCGCTTGAGAATATCTGTTGCTGTAAGCTTAGGTGTGCCGTTGGTATATCTTACGGTCATATCACGTTGAAACATCGGTTCTTGTAAGATCACCGAAGTTAAGCAACGTCGAGCCTGGCCAGTATCAAAGAAAGGTGAACGCTTGGGAATACTTGTTGCTATAAAATTGGATGTGTGGATGGTGTAATAGATAACGACACAAATGGGACACCGGAGAGCTGAGGTCTATTTCTAGTCGGGTTTGTTATATTCACTTACGCGTAAATACGCGTGGGAAATGTACGAATCACTTTCTTCTCCCCCTAGCTATGGATTAAATACTAGGAATTGTATGAGAAATACCATATTATCTCTAAAAAAATTTTACAATCCCCAATTCATGTTCAGGCTTTAAATAACCAGAAAGAGGTTAAAAAAATCAATCGAAAAGAAACAATGAAGTGTGTAACTAAATGATGTCTTTGAGATAAACGTAAGAGGGGAAAGTAAGATTTAAATATTATAATGATATGGTAAATATATAACAATTTGAAGACGTTAAGATTGATGTAAACGAGGAAGCATCAATAAGGGAACCTGTTCCATAAAATATACGTTTATGTGAAGAATCTTTCTGAGTGCAACATTATACTTGATACAGGTATATTTATGGAATGAAGATTAATGAAACCTGTGGATGTAGCAAGGCGTGTCTTGGGCTCCAAAATCTAAGATGGTGACACTAAAGAATAGAGATCTTCTGGACACTTGACATGAAAGTAAAATTGTAATGCGGCGTTTCTTCTTTGGGAAAAAGGGGTTTTAGGTTGTAGTCATCACCCAAAAGTCTGCATAAACGATTTTGAACTCTCAAGGATGGAAAATGAAGATTTGGAAGTTCATGGCCAGATATAGCAGAGATATTCCATTTTTGATTTGATCTGTCTCGTGCAAAGATAAACCATGATAGAAGGAGGCAGTTTTCTGGAATGGTCATAGGTACCAACCATTTTTTGTAGAATCTTTAATAATATATTGTATATATGTGTTTCACTTTTGCAGAAATGATTTTAACTACGAGTTTAACTTTTACTGAAATTAATTTATCTGATGGTGATGTAATGAAATAGTATACACCTGGTTCCTCCTCACAGTAATATGAATGGCAGGTGTCAGCCATAAATACAGACTGATGTGGAGGCACAGAGACGACGCCTATTGTCTTCGCCTATTGCCTACGCCTATTGTTTTCGCCTAATGTCTTCGCCTATTGCCTACGCCTATTGTCTTTGCCTATTGCCTACGCCTATTGCCTACCACTACGGCGAGGACCAGTCCATTACGGTTACCTGCTAGATTGTTCTACTCGATTACAGTAGTCCAAAACCACTTTGCTACTTCGAACTAATATATACCTTTCAGTTGGGATCTCATATTATGTCCCGGAAAGGGATATATTTGTTCGAAGTATGATAATAGGCTCAGGCAATAGGCGAAGATATTAGGCGAAAAACAATAGGCGTATTCAATAGGCGAAGACAAATATGTCGTCTCTGTACTCCACATCAATCTGTATTTATGGCTAACACCAGCCAATTATATTACTGTGAGGGGGAACCCAGGTGTATGCATATTCATTACATCATATTCATATGAATCTATCCTAAAAATGTTGTCGGCATTAAATAACCCATTGATGTTGATAGGCCGTAAAACAAAATAAACCAAACCAATCTAAACCAAAGAATACATATTCTATTCTGATATGTCCCGGAAAGGGATATATTTATTCGAAGTAGCAAAGTGGTTCTTGACTACTGTAACCAGGTAGGACAATCTAGCAGGTGAAGGTAATGGACTGGTCCTCGTCGTAGTGGTAGCCAATAGGCGTAGGCAATAGGCGAAGACAATACGCGTCGTCCTTGTACCTCCACATCAGTCTGTATTTATGGCTGACACCAGCCAATCATATTACTGTGAGGGGGGAACCCAGGTTTATGCATATTCATTACATCAGATGGTATGATCATTTCTAACGGATATAATACATTTTTATTTTTGCCCGATGGAAATTTTTCACTATATTGGAACAAGTTACAGTGTTAATCTGAAAATAATTTTTCCCTGTGAAAATATTTTGGTACAGGCCGACAAGATACAAGTTCTGCTCTGTCGTTTTTTTTTGTTTTTTTTTTTACTCCTGCAATACAGGAAACTAGTTAAAAAGGTATCACTGTAACATCTTTTTTAACCCGGTAAAAAAAAAATTCAATACATGCGGATCAGGTCCACCGCATACCTCTAATAAACATTTGTAATCCTCCGAAAATATTTCAGTACAGGCGGACGAAAGACACATGGTTCGCACGAACTGAAAAAATTTCGCAGGTGACAAAATTAGATTAGAGCAACTCTAATCTAATTTTTTTCCATGCGAAAATATTTCAGTTCGTGCCAACCAAATTCACTATGTTTTTCTAACAATATTTTTTACCCTTATTAAAATATTTAATACATACGGATCCGACAAATATTGTTGACCTAATAAAACTTTGCATCCCTGCAAAAAATATTTCACTTCATGCAGACTAATCTCACTCCGTTTCTCTAACAACATTTTTTACCCCTGTGAAAATAGTAATACATACGGATGAGGTACACTGTGTTAAATTTAATAAAGCTTTTTATCCATGTAAAATATACTTCAATAGAAGCAGACTAGGTACACTGTGTTACTCTAATCACTTTCATTACTATTCAGAAAATATTTCAATCATGCTGCTCAGTTACACTATGTTGATCTAATAAAGCTTTGTATCCTTGTAAAATATACTTCAATACAAATGAACCAGGCACAGTGTATTGCTCTAAATTGTTTTATTACCCTTGAGAAAATATTTAAATCAACCTTATGGGTTTTTTTATACCTTCTATGACAACCTCAGGTCTGTTAGCTTGTGGTGGCTAGCCGCTCGTATCTGACTATTCCTGTCTACTAAGGCGGCTAGCTAATACTCTTTGCCAAGGTACATTTCTGTTTGTTCTACAGAGCCAACCTGTTTTATTTGCTGCAACTATCCTGAGTGGTGTTAGTTACAGTTTCGGAAGGAGAGCGAATTACCTGGCGTGATCATCCGTTTGAATAAGATCAGTACATTCAAATCCTCGGTCACAACGACTTATGATTTCGGGTTAGCACAACTATCGATAGCTCTCAAATAGTTCCGTCTACTAATTCGACTAAGGAGGCGTAGGTCAGGGGACAACATTTCGTATGCTTTTCAGTCACTTTCTAAAGTTGCCGCCCTCTCTCAGCGCCTACAAAGAAGTTACTTTCCTGATAAATCGACCATGATAAGATTCGAACACCGATCTCATGGTCAGAAAGCTAATCAATCGGCCATGCGCCGATATATATTAGCTTGTATGGTCCATATGGTATGTATAGAGAGATTCCATATCAACGTATTGTCATAAACGTTTGAAACTTGTACTTTTGAACATACCATTGTTATCTGTCTATATTTCTGAGATGAGGTATTATGTACATTATTTACATTATTCGGACCATTTTCCTCATCTTTGTCGCTATATTTATGACAACGTTTCGGTCGTTCAAGGAAAGGCTTCAAGAACACAAGAAAGCTGTAACACGAAGAGGAGTGCAAAAATAAGGCTGACCACGTATGGAGAGAGAAGGGAGATCACCGCACTCTGTGGGATCATGTTGAGATCATAGACAAAGAACACCATTGAAAAATTCGTAAACTTAAGGATCAGCACATATAATAGGCCACAAAAATCTCCTGAGCCGACCAAGCATAGAAATGAGTACAATATGGAAACCAGTAATAAGGAATGCCAGAGAAAAGCGATTATAGCAACAAAAATTGCAATATGAGCTCTGGTAAAAACTTGAGTGATAACAACAAAAATTGCTATGAGCTCTGGTAAAAAAATAGTTGTTGAAGACATTAGGTTTATAATACCCAGAAATTCATACACAGATGTCCTCTGGCACAGAGGTTAAAGGCGTTAGTTAGATCCAGTGACAGGATCCAAAGAGTGTGAGTTCGATACCCGGTTAAGGCAGTGGAGTACTTTCAGAGTGGAAATTAACAGGGGATAACTGATAACTGACATCCATTAAACATGGCACGTGGAACTAGAACAGTCTACCCCAGTGACCGAAATAAAGGATTCAGTTCGACATCCCAACCACCTGAAGAAGCCCGGAGCGTACAACGGTAACAAAGATGAGGACAATGGTCCGAATAATGTAAATAATATACTATTGTTAGTCATGGCTGACTAAATATAAAGAGAAAAGTGAGATCACCGCCCTCTGTGGGATCAGGTTGAGATCATAGACAAAGAACACCATTGGAAAATTCGTAAACTTAAGGAATCAGCACATATACTAGGCCACACAAATCTCCTGAGCCGACCAAGCATAGAAATGAATACAATATGGGAACTATATCATATAAATGATCTTTTTAAGCAAAGCTAAAATGTGGCACAAAGCCGAAAGTATGGAGCACCCAGTGAGGATCGAACTCGCTATTTAGCTGTAATTGATCTAGCGAGACAATCTTGCCAACCATTACACCACTTCGACGTACTCTACCATTGCTAATTATAATCTTATAATATCGGCATATCTTCCTGTAGAAGCATTGCTCTACCTTTTAATGCTGACTCTTAAATTCATTTGATTCTAGAATAGAACAGCTTGATATGTTTTCTTCAGGGCTTGTACAGAATCTACCTAATTCCTTAAAATACGGCAAGATCACGATACTGGGCATTTATGCTCAGCTGTTAGGATAAAACTTTTTGTATCTGGTATTCTCTAAAAGATCCATAGCCACTGATGGGACAGAGTTTGGTCAATATTACACTATGTGTATTGACCATTAGTGCTTTTCTTTTCCCTTGACTTTTCAGTTTTGTTAGGTCCTAAATTTTTGCTTTTTGTTTGATGCTTTTACTACCTTTCTCTATATTTTGTCTTCGATTTCATCTAGATCGTTTAGGTGTAGATA